AGAAGATTTTGCCTCTGTGATGCTGGTCTCTTATTAATTGTAGTTGATTTTTCAGCCCGAGCTACCCTGCATGAATGGTCCCACAAAAACAAAAGTTTTACTTTAGTGGTATTGATCTCTTGTTAATCACAGCTGATTCTTCAACTTCAGCTGACCAGAAAACACAGATTAATTCAAGTATATCACACAAATGATCCAGACAGAGTCCTTGACGGGCTCTCAAACTTCCCTCTGAAATTTCATAAATCAGTTCTCTATTGTCTGTTTTTCTCTTACCATTATCTTTCAAACTCCCCCAGAACAGCCCTAAGCTCCAAACACTGAACAACTTTTCTAGTTCAAAATTCCAAAAGCTTCTGCAATCCTCCCCCAAATAATGTGATCAGGTCTCTCACAAAAGTACCCCATTCTCCTGGTACCAATTTATATACTAGTTGGCATTTCTTTTGCTGTGATAAACGCCATGACCAAAATGAACTTGAAGAGGAAAGACTTTATTTATTGCATCTTATATTTCCACATTACAGTTCACCATTGAGAGAAGTCAAGGCAGCAACTTAAGAAGGAAACCTGGAGTCAGGAACTGAAGCAGGGATCATGGAGGAATGATGCTTATTGGCTTATTTACCTGGGTTACTCAGCTACATTTATTATATAGCCCAGGCCCACCTTCCCATAAATAACACTGCCCACAGTGGGTCCGGACTCTCTTCTATCTATTAAGAATTAATAAAATGCCTCACAGACATGCTCACAGGACAGTCTGATGGAAGAAATTCCTTCTCAGATGACTCTAGTTATGTTGTTGACAAAATCTAACCAGCACACCAATATAAACAGATGGAAATAAGTAATGATTACAAAGGAAATTAATGAAATGTAGAGAAGAATTATAATAAGGCAACCCTGTAAAAAAAAAAGCTAATTACTGAAAACAAATGTTTGTTCTTTTAAAGTTAAAATCTTCAAACATTTAGCATGGTTGGCCATGAGAATACTCAAATTACTAAAGTTAAGAATGGATAGGAGCTATTACTACCAATTTTACAGAAATAAAATTGCCTATAAGAAAAGTCTATAGACATTCTATGTCAACAAATTAAGTAATCTATATGGAGTCTATATATTTTCATAAAAGCAAAAGCTACTGTAACTGACTCGTGAAGAAAGAGGAAATATGAATTTTCCTATAACAATAAAGTTTAATTTTATAATAAAAAACTCACAAAAAATTGCCAGGCCTGGGTGGCTTCACTTGTAGGTTTTATCTAATATTTAAAGAATTGACACCATTCCTATAAAAATTCTCCAAAACTTAGAGAAAACATTTCCTATTTCATTCAGCAGTCAGTATTATCCTAGTGCCAAAACCAGATACCCCATGTTGATGGGTCAGAAGATTTAACATTGATAAGTTTTCAATAATCTTCATATATTCAAAAAGTATTTGAAAGATCTCACCATGTTGCCAGGCTGACTTCAAGTATGCAATCCTCTTGCTTCAGTCTCCCAAGTGCTGGGATTACACGCATAAGTCAATACACAATCTAAAAATTTAGCACTATAACAATCAAAAATTTACTTTTTTTCAGAAGTTGTTAAGGTTATTCAAAAATTCATATGTAGAAATTTAGGAGACCAGAATAGACATACAATCTTGAAAAAGAACAAAATTAGAGCAGTCATGCTTTCTCACTTGAAAATTTTTACAAAGACAATATTGTTATGACTGTGTGTTCCTGCCATAAGACCAGCATAAAGATCAGTGGAGTAGAATTACTGGTCCAGAAACAGTACATTACTGGTCAGTTGAGTTTTGGTAAGGGTGCCTGGATAAGTTTGGAAAAGAGAGACAACAAATAGTGGTAGGGCAACTGGAAAGACATATATTATAGCATGAATTTGGACTTGTGCCTAATATCATATACAGAATTACCTCAAATGGATCTTAGAGCTCAAGGTAAGAGCTATAATTATACTTCTTTAGAAGAAAGCATATAGGTGCAAATATTTATAACCTTGATTTAGCAATGCTTTCTTATATGATGCCAAAATTATATTTAATAAAAAGACATAAGTTAGAGTTCACCAATATTTTAAGCCTATATTTTCATTTTTTAAATTGAATTTATTTGAATGGGTACATATTTACATATACAATGAGTTTTTACATATTAATGTGTATCTGAAATATTTTGGTGAACATATATATTGTGTAATGTATAAATCAAATTAAACCTAGCTATTCCTCATTTATTAGTCCTCAATCCTTGTTTTTGAAAGGAAATCATAGTGAAAATAAAAACATAATCCACAGATTGAGAAGCTATGCTTTTGAAAATTATCTAATAAGGGATTTGCATGATGAATGTATAAAATACTCTTACGATTCCATACTAAAGACAAATAACTCAATTAAAAATGGCTCACGCATTTAAATAAACATTTATGTAAAGGCATACAGATAATGCAGCTGGGGATTTAGCTCAATGGCAGAAATAGTTCTAGACTGTGTAAGGTCTTGGATTCCATTCCCAACACTAAAAAAAGAAAGAAAAAAGAAGATACACAGATGACCAATAAGCAAAAGGAGGGGAAATGATGCTGTCTATCAATTGTCAGGGTAATATAAAACAAAAATGCAATGAGATATCAAACTTAATCCACTAGGATTGTGGCTGTGAAAAAGATGAAAAAATAGCAAGTATTAGTAAGAGTGTAGCAATACTGGACCCATACATTGCTTTTGAGAATATAAAATGATGCAGGTGGTATAGAAAGCAGATTTGGCATTTCCTTAATAAGTTACAGATAACATTATTAGATAACCCAAAAGTTATATACCTAAGTATCTACCATCTCAAAAGAAAACATATATCCACACAGAAATGGATGCATAAATGCTCATGATTGCATTATTAGTAGCTAGCAAACAGAAACAACACCACAAATGCCCATCAGTTGCTTTCCATTACCCTGGAATGTTCCTTGACAGTAATAAGAAGTGAAGAATCAGTACTAGATATAGGGTTCATGGGCTTTACACATCCTAAGTTCTGGGGCCTCTTAGCAACATACTCTGTTCCAAAGGCCAAAACTGTCAAAAGTATTTGGGAGCTCTTATCTAACCTGTAAAAGATTTTAGGGTTACCTCTTCAGAGGGAGGAATGTTAGAGTAGCAAAAAGCCCCCTCCCCCCACAAAGAAAGAATACACGAAGTTGTCAGAAAAAAGTAAAGTGATGGGGAGATATGGGAGGAGTTGGAGGGGAGGGAGTGGGCATGGATTTGATCAAAACACATTTTTTTAAAGTTAAAAAAAAAGAAATTACATTTGTCTAGGGATATGAGAGCCTTGAAGTTTTCTCTAAGATCTATGACCTTTCCAGCTATGTGCATTTGGCTAGGTTTACAGTACCAGACATGAGTTTCCTCCCATTGAGTGGGCTTTAAGTCCAATTAGGCAGCTGTTAATTACCCCCAAGATAAAAGTGCTTCTACTGCACTAATGTCGTTTACTGTGCTTGTCATTGCTGTGGTTTTGAGGCCTTGAATCTAGGGTTGGATCTTCTATTGATGCTTTCCCTTATCAGCTTGCATAGTGCTCTGCAAGCTATGAGAGCTAGCCTTCGGGGGAGGTGGCTTCCAGGACAGTTCCAGCTCCATTGCTCCAGATCCTGTGTTCAAAGTATGTCCCTTCTTCAGCAATAGGGTCTTTCCATCAAGTTCTGGGAGGCAATCAAGGACTGTGGCAATAACTGTGCAACTCTGGGAGTCTCTTGGACTACCCTGGCCAACAATTCAAAGGAAAGTTTCTAGAGGAGCTTTTAATGGAAACATCTTGAAAGTATGGAATGACTTACCTTAGGAGAGAATATATGTTTTGTTATTCATAGTGACAAACATCCACTTAATGTGTGTCCCTGGTTTGAGGCACAGGTTCTTTAACCTCTTGGACTTCCTTGAGTGTTAATGGTAGCTGGATAGTGTGTTTTGGTATCCATCATCAGGTACGGACCTTTTCAACCATACCTGAATGAGGTAACTCCTGTGGTATGGAGGGTGATTCCCAGAGTAACCAACCTATGGGTAGATTTTTAGAATTTCCAGCCCTATTCTCTGTGCTGGAAATAGCCTAAGTCACCAGTGCCCAGTGATATAAACAATCATGCTCATATAGTGAAACCTCCATAAGAACACTAGCAATAGACTTTAGAAGCCCCAAGATTGGTGAACACATGGTGGTGCTTGGGAGGTGCCATGTATAAAGAAAGCATGGAAGCTTTGCTCCTCTTCCCACACACCTTGCCATGGGCACTTCTTCCATTTGGTGCCTCCTGAATTTTGTCCTTTCTAATATAAAGTAATAATAGTAAAAAAATATTTTCTTGAGTTCAATGGATTATGCCAGGAAATGATCAAACTCTACGAGTTCACTATGTAGGCCAGGATGCTCTGGGACACACAGAGATCCACCGGCCTCTGCCTCTTGAGTGCTGAGATTAAAGGCATGCACCACCACACCTGACTGGATGCTGTAGGTTTGTTGTATGTGAGATCTGATGCATGGAAGTTATGGGAACCATAAAAGAAGCTGCTATTTTTGTCACTGTTTTTTCTTTTTAAAAATATATTTTACTGAATTTTTGTGGCTTTCATACAATACATCTTAATCATATTTAGCCCCTGTATTAGTTACTTTTCTGTTGCTGTGATAAAACACCATGACCAAGGGAATTTATAAAAGGAAGAGTTTACTTGAGTATACAGTTCCAGAGGAATCAAGAGTTAGGCATTGGCAAAAAAGGAAAGCTAAAGAACAGATGATTAAATAATCAATAGGCACTGAAGCCATCCTTCTGCTGACCTTAGATTTTATGTCTTCCTCTAGTTACTGTGTGAGCTTAGGACACTGCTCCCTACTTTGTGTTGTATAGATCTTTGCCTGTTTATTTATATGCACCATCATTAATTTGCTTTGTCTTTTATTTTCTCCTAACAGCTGAATCATTCAAGGAATTTGCTGATTTGCTCAATGAAGTAGAAAATGAGAGGATGATGATGGTAGGTCCCTGTTTTAGCCAAGGTTCCTTAAAAGAACAGAACTAATAGAGTGATTATATATTAGAGGGGGATTTATTTCATTGACTTACATTATATGGGGCTGGTTAGTCTAACAATGACTGTCTTCATACTGGAGAGGTTGAGAACCCAGTAGTTGCTTGATCAATGAGGCCAGATGCCCCAGTGGTCCCATTCTAGAACTGAAGGCCTGGAGCATTCCTGGAGAGCCACTGGTCTTTAGTCCATGTTGGAAGGCCAAGAAGCTGAGTTTCCATGTCACAGAAGGATGGCGGCAGCGGTGGCAGCAGTGGCAACAACAATAACAACAGCAACAGCGTAGATGCATTCACCAGCAGGGAGTGAAGGCAACCAGACAAAAACACAGAACTGATTTTTTTTCCTCAGAATTCTTTATATCTGAACCAGTACTGGAAAGTGCTTCCCACTCTGAGGGATGGTCTTCCTTTATTCCTTACTCCTTCCTTGAAATACCTGTGTAGACCCACCTAGAAGTGTGTCTCTTAGTTGATCCTAGATTCAATCAAGTTGACAAGGGAGATTAACCATCACAAATGTGTTTTGCAGAGCAGAACTATTTAATTTTACTGAAGTCCAACTTACCTAGGTTTTTCTTTTATAGATCTTGCTTTTGGAATTTAAAAAGTCATCATGAAATCTATGGCCATCTAGGTTTCCTCTATTGTAGGAGTTTGGCACAGTTAGGGCTATGATCTATTTTGAGTTAATTTTTTAAAGGATTGATGATCTTCATTTAATTTTTGACATGTGATTATCCAGTAGTCCCAGGACAATGTGTTAAAATGAGTATCTGTTCTCCACTGAAAGAACTTTTTTTTTCTTTCTTATATTTCTGTTTCATGGATAAATTTGTTTATTGTTTCTCCAATACCATACTGTCTTGATTACTATGACTTTGTAGGAGGTCTTGAAATAACATATAAATACTAGAAACACTTTATATTCACAAAGCAAATTGGTGGAATTTTGATCAGGATGACACTGAATCTATAGATAAAGCTGGGATGAGCTGTTATCTTAAAAATAATGGCTTTTTGTATCCAGGAACAGGGATTACCTCTCCACTTGTTTGAAATAATATTTTTATTATTATTATTTTAATTTTATGTGTATGTGTGTATTGTCTGCATGTAGGTAAGTGCACCCGTGTCATGCAATGCCCATGGAGGTCAGAAGAGGCTGTTGGATCCCCTGGGACCGGAGTTACGGACAGTAGTTAGTTGCCATGTGGGTTCTGGGATTCGAACCTGGGTCTTCTGCAAGAACAACCAGTCTTCTTAGCTGCTGAGTCATCTCTTCAGCCCCCATACAGATCTTTTATATATGTTTCTAAGAATGTCATCTTTTATATAATCTGTTATTTTTGGTGTTTAAAAGATAACTTTTCTCTATTTCTCCCAGATAAATAGTGCCTAGCTAGTATATATATATATATATATACAGAGGGAATTGTATTAGTCCAAAAACCTACAGAAAAATTGCAAATACAATATTGCTACATGAGTTTGTGAGTACAGCTGAAGACTACATAGCAAGATACAGTGCCAGACAGGAAAAATTCCTTTGAATTGTTGGTCAGGGTAGTCCAAGAGACTCCCAAAATTACACAGGCTATTGCCACAGTCCGTGATTGCCTCCCAGAACTTGATGGTAAAGCCCTATTGCTGAAGACAGGACATACTTTGGACACAGAATTTGGAGCAATGGAGCTGGAACTGACCTGGAAGCCTCCTCCCTGAAGGCTAGCTCTCATAGCTTTGGAGAACAGTATGCAAGCTTCTAAGGGAGAACATCAGCAGATGGTCTAACCATAGCTTCAAGGCCTAAAAACCGTATCAGTGACCAGCACAACATATGACATTGGTGTAGTTAGTGGCACTTTTATCTTGGGGGTAATCAACAGCTACCTAATTGGACTTAAAGCCTACTCAATAGGAGGAAACTCATGTCTGGTACTGTAAACCTCCACATAGCTGGAGAGGTCATAGATCTTAGAGAAAACTCCAAGGCTCTCACATCCCTAGACAAGTATAATTTCTTACCATGTGCAAAATATGGATCCTTAAATTTGTGGACAGGTATCCCAGTCACAAAGCATCAAAGAAACTTGCTTTTCAAGAGACAGAGATAATTACAGAGTTCCAGAACTGGTCACACACAGGGTTTGTCTGTGACTTGCCCAAGCCTAAGTGTCACATCTAGGATGCAACTTCTATACCTAAGGCTTACAGGACATAGAACAAGGGATGAAGAGAACAGTAATGCACCTTTCAACTCTCATCAATGAAGCTCCATCATGCAACAGAGGGCCAGGAATGCAAGTCACAAATGATCAAAACATAGAGAATAAGAGTCTGCAGAGTGTGGGTCCTTGGACAGGGCTCCCATATTAAAATCCACCCATCCAGGGCTCAGGGACCATTGCAGAAGATGGGGTGGAAAGATTGTAAGAGCCAGGGAGGAGGTGCATAACCATACAGAAAGAGTCCTACAGGCACCTGGGACCCTTCTCATACAAACCTACAGCAATGGTGTCAGCATGCACAAGACACATGCAAACTTAAGCAGACAAAAACCCAGCACAGATCTGTCGAAATGAACAGCAGGCCCCAATCTTAGTCTAAGAACTCTTGGCAGATGATTATTGCTGGGTGAGGAAGAGCAGATCTTTTAAAGGGAGGGAGTCTAGATAGGATGACTAGATCCCAGTGGATGAGCTTGCACTTAGGGACATCTGTGGACACTAACTTTACATGATAGGCCTTAGCAAATGCCAGAATGTATGAACTCCAGTGTGGGAGGGGGGCTATGGAAGGGTGCCAAAGGGGAAGGGGCTGTAAAGATGGTTTTCTGTATGAAATACACAAAAATTCAATAAAAATTAAAAAAGATTATCTTGACCTTGGTATGATGGTATAAGCAAGCCTGTGCTCATAGCACATAGGAAAGAGCTTGTAGCAGGAGGACCAGATGTTCAACGTAATCCTCAATTACTTGGAGAGGTTAAGGCCAGCCTGAAAAACAGAAAATCCTGTCTAAAATAAAATAACAACAACAACAACAACAATGGAAAGTGCAGAAAACCTTTTGGTGTGGTCTCTAGACCAGCAGCATCCACATCTTTGAAATTATCCATGACCCCCAACCCAGACCAACTGACTACTTAAATATGGAAATAACTGTTTTGAACAATTCTCATTTTAATTAGGTATGTGGAAAGGACTCTGTACATGATCTCAAAATAGGATTCCTTCCCCATAAGTTATTCCAATTAAAAAGAGTTTTATCCATAATCCCTCCATGTTTTTAGTAGTGTATTGCTCGTGTCTCAATTCTCTATTTCTCTTAGGCTTCTAGAGAAGTTTGGTTGAAGGAAAGATTTAGTTTTTGATTCTGGATCTGCTACTAACTCATCTTTTGACTTTACACTTTCAGTTTATTTTTCTGGACATTCCTTTACTCTCATGTAAAGAAAAAAAGTAATCTGCATTTCCTATCGTTTTTATGGAGCACTCCAAATGACATAATATATTTGGAAGTATTTTATAAAGATGAAACACATTGGTTATATTGTTTTTAGTAATCATTGGTTATAAGAAATGTGATAAGGATTTTCTGAGTTTATGAAACTTGCCTTCTACATGCATTAAGTAGAGACCAATATGGGTTGTTTCAATCAAGCCTCACAGGTGATCTGCTAGCTCATTCCACACTTGATTGGGCCTGCTCTTCTGCCCAAAGCCTTCCTGGCCTGCTGCCCATGTTGTTCTCAGAGGCATTCACCTGCGGTTCATTCAGTTGTCACTAGCAAGCTCAGCTGCCCTTCTCTCAGCACTTAGTGCTTCCTCATCTGTTTCATTTACCGAATAATAAAGCTCTGCAATATTGGAATAGGATTGTCTTTTGAGATGTTGTTTTCTGTACCATTTTGTTTTTTACTTTTTGTCACACAGTGCATTCATTAGCGTTTAAAAGCTTTGAGTCCTTTCTAAAATTAGACTCTGAAAGGGATAACAAGCAGTAATGAAGTTTACGACCATAGACAATGGAAATGACCTGTGCCTGGCCATCTCCATAAATGAGTACAGGAACTATGGAGGGAGAAAAGCTGGAGCATCCGAGCCCTGATGTTCTTCAAAATACTCTAGGGGGGAGCTGGGTGGCTTCGCCTTTAATCCCAGAACTCAGGCAGAGGCAGGGGCAGGGGCAGGGGCAGGGGCAGGGGCAGGGGCAGGGGGATCTCTGAGACTTTGAGACCAGCCTAGTCTACATAGCGAGTTCCAGGCCAGCCAGAGGGACCCTGTCGTCCCTAAAAAGCTAGGTGGTCAATTAACATCTTAAAATATACTCTAGGGGATTTATAGTGTCTCAGAAGTGGCATGTAAGCGTCTGGGTTGCAGACTTCCTGTATAATGAGGAAGCTTGTCTTCATGCTTTTCTTACTCAGAAGGGGGTTTTGACAGTGATATACAAAGTTTGTGTTTTGAAGATTGACAAAAATAGCTTTGAGAGGCCCATACTATTGCAAACAGTATATTCTTGAGGCTTTCTTTTGGTAGTTTGTTTACCATCAATGACTCCCGAGCAATCCTGTGGTACTAGATTGAATACTATCTCTATTTGACTAAAGACCTTATTCAGTATTAATTTTGTCTTTTTTCAGTGGGATCCTGATTCTGTAAACTATCATTGTATTTAGGTCAGTACTTCTCCTGGTGGGAATTCTATCCTGATACTGAGTTTTTCTCCCAGAGAGCTCAAAGAAATGGATGCAGTGGCCAAAAATGTGATTAAGGACAAATCTTACTTCAAAGGGCTTCTTTGAGTAGTTGCTGAACTTCCAAGGAGTTTAAGGTTATACCGAATGAAAAAGAAAGGAGCCAAGATTCAACAAGCCCTGTCCCTACACTCCCAGCTCTGGCATAGATAGTATTATAATAACCGAGTGTCAAAGAGAAGAG